TGCAGAGAACGGCTTAGGGGATTTTAGTCAATGTGATTGTCATTCTGTATCTGCTATTATAAAACTCATGGAAGAGAAACCCCTACCTCCTGGAATGATCCAGCTTCTGGGCTTTCATAGAAGCCATTTCTGAATGCAAAACTAGCCAGAGGGTCGTTTGTGTCACTTGTTATTTTGTTTGTTTGTTTGCTTGTTTTGTTGTAGATGCTGTTTTAGATTTACATCTTAAAGAGTAATATGAACATTTTATATATTTTTCTAAATTAATTGTTCAAAGAAAATGTTGATCAAAAGCCCATAGTCTAGAGAAAAATTAAACATGTCTAAAATTATGTCAAATTGAAAGTAGTATAAAGATTATATCTACCCTAGATGCCATGGTAGTTAATTCTGTGAGTTTTCTTGTGGTGTCTTTAACCTTGCCAGCTCCTAAAATCATTTCTTCAACTCTTATGCAGTATTACCCAAATTCCACGTAATGTTTGACTGTGGGTTCTACATTCACTTCCATCATTTGCTGGATGAAGTCTTTCTAATGAAAACTGGTTAGACAACCTGGTAATATGAGCTGGCCAGTTGGGGTTACATACTTGCTATTTCTAGGAGTCTTAGCTGGCAACATCCTTGTAGATTTCTTGTGCCACGTTTTTACCTAACCGCTCATATTCCCCCCTTTTCTATTAGCATCTTTCAGAACTCTCCCCTATGTTCCTGTTCCTCAACCTGGTCACTCATATTCCCATTACATCCTGGACTCAGTCTACTCACAAATTATCTTCTGATTCTTCCCAGGGAGAGACTTGATCTCCCACACAATCTAATGAACCCTCCTTGTTACCTAGTATCTATGGGTCTGTGGATTATAGCATAGTTATCTTTTATTTTAGAGTAAATATTCACTTGTGAGAGATTACATACCATGTTTGTTTTACTGGGTCTTGGCTATCTCACACAGTATAATTTTTTTCTAGTTCATTTGCCTTTAAATTTCTTGGTGTCCTAGTTTTTAACAGCTGAGTAATAATCCACTGTGTAAATATAACACTTTCCCTTTACCTATTCCTGTGTTGAGAGTCATTGAGACTCTTTCCAGGTTCTGGAAATTGCAAATAGAGCTGCAATGAAAAAAGTAGAGCAATATTGTCATAAAAACAGACAGGTGAAAAAAAATGGAATCGAATCAAAGACCTAGATGTAAGTCTACATGCCTATAGATGTCTGATTTTCAACATATAAACAATGTCAAAAATAAACAATGGTGAAAAGAAGTCATCTTCAACAAAAGATGTTGATCTAACTTGACGTCAGTATGTAGAAGAAAAAAATGGATTAAGATCTATCACCCTAAGACAAGTAAAGGTGGATTGAAAACCTCAACATAAATCCAAATACACTGAACCAGATAGAAGAGATAATGGTAAATAATCTTGAACTCATTGGCACAGGAAACAACTTTCTGAACAGAATGCCAATAGCACAGGCACTGAGATCAACAAACAATAAATGGACCTTATGAAATTGAAAAGTTTCTGTAAGGCAAAAGACACTATCAACAGGATAAAACAGAGGCCTACAGAATGGGAAAAGATCTTTACTAACCCTACATCTGACAGAGAACTAATTTCCAAAATACATTAAAAAACTCAAGAAACAAGATATCAACAAACAAATAATTCACTTTAAAAAACAGGGTACATACCTGAACAGAATTCTCAACAGAAGAATCTCCAAGATCAAGAAGCACTTAAGATGTTCAGCATCCTTAGATATCAGGAAAATCCAAATCAAAATGATTCTTAGATTCCATCTTACACCTATCAGAATGACTAAGATCAAAAATATAAGTGACTGCTTATGCTGGGGAGGATCTGGGGCAAAGGGAATATTCCTCCACTAGTGGTAGGAGTGCAAATTTTTACAGCCATTTTGGAAGTCAATATAGTGACTTCTTAGAAAACAGGGAATCAGTCTACCACAACCCAACAACTTTTGGATATGCACCCAAAATATGCTTAATCATACCAAAAAAAAAACCCCACTTTCTCAAACATATTCATAATGCTTTCACATTTCAATATAAAAATTCAGAATATAAATATTTACACTCAGATTATATATGACATTATTCTTTGGACTTCAAGGTTCCTTCCAAATGGAAGCATTTCATCCAACGAAGAAAAGGGGACGGACAGGTGAAGTAAACAGAAAGAGACATATCTAGGAGAACAGAAAGTTAGAAGATCCTGGGCAGTAAAATTATAAGAACTACTGGAGGTGGTGACTCTGGCCTGCCTAACTATGCAAAGAGTTAGATATTTGTTCTGGATACCTACCTGCTAAGTTTGCCGCTTTCTAGAGTTGCCACTTGAGTTCCAGTGATTCCATGGATAATAAATTATCTCAGGCTTCTTGTACGTGACCAATCAACATTCTACTTTTAGAACCACTGGTTCACCAAATTAAAAATTATCACAGTCATATTTGGGAATGAAGCAAGTTCTCTTTTTGGGAAGAGTAGAAATAGTTCTGTTGTGTCTTCCCAGCAATACCCATTATATATGAGTTGACAGATTCTACATTTCCCTATGCAGCAATTTTAAGTTAAAATAAAAATGGCAGTAGAAAAAGTAAAAGGTAAATAAAAGTAAGGCTTTGATTATATAACTGAGGCAAGTGGTATATTTGATGAAAATAAAATGCAGTTTGTGAAGAAAATCTATTAATTTAGATGGAACAGTTTTTTATTTCTTGTTGTAATGACTTATTCTAGACAATAGATTTATATGTTTTTTATCAAGAAAATGTAAAATGGAATAAAGCTTTTCTTAAGGACTATAAATAATCTTAGAGAATTAAGATAATTAAGTGAAAAATGAAAACTTAAACAAGACTAGAAAGGCATAAATCATATGCATGCTATTTACTTTCACAGGGTTCTTAAATCATATTAGTAAGAAGACTAAATGTCATTTCATTAAATTTCTGAAATAACTTAGATTTTATCAGAATTATTTTAAAAAAAATCAATGATGCAAAATGTTTAGTTTTATTTCTGTTCATATGATAAAAATGAAAATATATATTTAATTTTGAATGCATGAGAAGTACAGTTTACTACAATAGTCTCATCAATATTTTATTTCAAATAATTATCTTCAATGGTTATGCTTATTTTATTCTAAATATCCATACAATTATTTTTTACAAATGAGAATCCATTTGCTTTATAAGAAGAAAAGAGAAGTTGTAACTGTATAGCTAATTTTTACATGTCCTTGAAACACTACAGTTGGCAAAAATCACCACCAAAGTGTAAAATAAGCTAGACTTCCAATTAAAATGTTACAAGTTGGTACTAAATCTAACCAACAATTTCAAATCTTCAGTAACACAAAAGTTGTCACTGTTTTTTTTAAAGGTGGCAGACAATGCCTCAAAAGAAAGGGAGGTTTTTAAGCTTATCTACTCTGAGATCAAAAGGATTCAAGAATAGAAACAATGAGGAAATTAAGTTTGCAGAATAAAAATATATTCTTAGCACAGTCCATTGACTTCCTGTTTAATGAAAAGAATAAAGAAAGGCTTTAGGTATATTAAAAAATTGTGATAACTACAAAAGACAATACTTAGTAGTTTACATTTATTTTAGGTAATGAGGACAAAAAACTGCTAGTTTAGACTTTGAAAATTTAACTTGTTCTTAGAAATAATTTTATCATTGAACCAATCTCAAAAGTTTTTGAACTGTTTTTTATTTTCATTAAATTTGATCATTTTATCACAATACTTTGTTGGAATGTAATCTAGCATTTTTCCTTTATATAGACAATTTTATCTTTTCCATTTTGATACTACGAATAAACATAATTCACTGTCTCACATCTTACCATTGGAAATGACCAGTTGGAATTTGTGTTTCTCTCTCATTATGGTAATGTTAGACTTAACTGCAGAATGTTTATTATCCAAATGATATGTTGGACTTCTATAACTTACTAATGTAACAATGTTTGGAGACACATAAAATAATATCTAATATATATGTATATATATATATATATTAATTAGTCAGTAATATCCAAATTCAACTTCTTTTTTGTGAATTATCACAGTAATGGTGGTGGGTAAGCCAATATGAAAAATAAGCATAATGAACTAAATTTATGATCAGATCATGATATGCTTAGTTAGAAGGAAGAGGGAGGTTACATGCCAATTTTAAATTTTACCTTTTAAGGAAAATTTTATTTCCCAAGAAGCAATAAACCCTACTAGATTTTCTCTCTTTCTCCACACAATGAAGAATAATCACAATGAAGGGAGTATCTGTATTACCATAATTTTTATATAATAGGAAATGCTGTGGTTTAGATATAAAAGGCATTTGGAAGTAGTTTTAACATCATTAAATGACAGTTGACTTTTTGTACAAAATAAATCTTACTTTTCTAGGCATCACAGTTAGCCCCATGCTTTAAGAAATAAAAATTACAGTTTTCTCTTTCACTGGTTTCAAAATGTAAAATCTACTTTATCTGTTTTATTTCTGCTTACCCCCCACAAAATTATCACAGCATCATAGAAATATTTCCAGTGTTTAAGTGTAGAAGGAGCAGTGGGCCGCTTCCTGCTGCCCGCCTCCCAGCTAGCTTTACCCTTGAAATAATTACACGGAAACTGTATTCTTTTAAGCACTGCTTGGCCCATTATCTGTAGCCTCTTATTAGCTAACTCTTACATATTGATCTAACCCATTTCTAATAATCTGTGTAGCACCTCGAGGTGGTGGCTTACCAGGAGACTTCTAACCTGCAACAGTCTTGGAGAGGAGAGTCATGGGGACTACCTGCCTCTGCTTTCTTTCTCCCACAATTCTGTTCTGTCTAATCCACCCACCTAAGGACTGGCCTATCAAAAAGGCCAAGGAAGTTTCTTTATTAACCAATGAAAGTAACACAGACAGTTAACCCTCCTCCATCATTTAAGTACATTTTACTTACTGTGCTCTGTACTGTGGATTTGGCTTTCATTGTTCTTTTGCAGTTTTCTTTTAGTTTGTCTAATAGTGTCCTTTTCATGTTTCCAGAATTTTATTGAGACTTCATTGAAGATGACTCTTATTCTTATGTAGGTTTCTGCACATTGAAAATAATACAACAGTAGGTATTTATTCTTTCATTTAATCCAAGTCACCATTGATAATGTCTAAAGATTCTTTGTCAAATATCAGGTGTTCGAAGGTGTGTGGATTATTATCTGGGTCTTTGATTCAGTTTCATTGGTCCTCCTGTCTGTTTTTATGCCAATATCAGGCTGTTTTCAGTACTGTAGTTCTGTAGTGGAGTTTGAAGTCAGGTGTAACATGAGGGGCCGGTTTGTTGGGGTATTTGTCCCGCCAAGTACCCCACAGCTGGCAAGTCACAAAGAAAATCAGACACAGGACTCCATAAGGTTATAAACTGATTGGCCCATTAGCTCTGGCTTCTTGTTAACTAATTCTTACATCTTACGGTAACCCATAATTCTTGTCTGTGTTAGCCATGTGGCTCAGTACCTTTTCCAGCTGTCAGCTCACATGTTGCTTCTTCAGTGACCTGGGCAGAAATGGCTGAGGGAGCTTCCTCCTCCCTAGCCTTCTCCTACCCTCATTGCCCCGCCTCTACTTCCTGTCTGGTTTACCCGCCTATACTTCCTGCCTGGCCAAACAGCGTTTTATTAAAATACATGATTGACAGAATACAGACAATTCTCCCACACCAGTCAGGGATTGTGATGCCTTCAGAAGTTCTCTTATTTACAGGATTGTTTTGGCTACCCTAGGTGTTTTTTTTTTTTTGCTTTTCCACTTTCTGGTGTCATCTTCAATTTATTTTTTCAAAGATTTAAAGATCTAGTCATACAAATCTTCTACTTGTTTGTTTAGAGTTACTCTGAGATATTTTATGCTATTTGTGGCTATTTTGAAGAGTGTTGATTCTCTGATTTCTTTCCCAGCCCTTTAATCATCTGTGTACAGAAGGGCTACTGACTTTTTTTTGAGTTAATTTGTATCCTGCTACATTACTGAAAGTGATTATGAGTTGTAGAAGTTCATTGGTAGAATTATTGGTGTCGCTTATGTAAACTATCATATCATCAGCAAATAGTTGGTTTGAATTCTTCTTTACTGAATTGTATTCCCTTTATCTTTTTTGTTGTTTTATTTCCCTAGCTATGACCTCAAGAACTATATTTAATAGATATGGCTAAAGATTATATTCCCTATAATTCTGCTACAATTAATCCACACATATATTTGTATACAGCAATTACATGCAGAACTACAGAAATCCAAGGACTATTTCTCTTAAAGTAATGAAAGAATGATATTGTCTCTATTAGTGGCAGAATATTAACTAAATTGATGTCTACATTTTAACATATAACACCTATGAAGATTTCTCACTTGCTCTGGGGAGGGGTAAAAAATTGTGAAAATGCAATTATGGGTGATTATCTAAAAATCTCCTCTAAAGGATTTTTCTTACATTTCTTGATTAGGTCTATTGTGCTCACAGTCTTATATCTTAGAAAGTGCTATGGATCATAATATAATTACCATAGATATTCATGTGATGAAAATGTGTCAAGCTAACCTGCTGTATTTGAAAGTAATGATCACTAGAGTTGTGCTTTTGAAGGTTATATCATATCTTATGATGCTTTCCTATGCTCTCCAGTTCCAGGGCAAAAACAGATTTCTTTCACTGATGCTTTGTCTTGCTGCAGCCTAAAAGAAATTCAGTCAGCTGTCCATGGACTGTAAATATACAAAACCATCATGCTAATGTAACTCTCCTTTCCTAGTCTACTTTCTCTGGTATTATGATGCAACAATAGAAGGATGACTAATACAAGAAGAGAGGACATCAGTGTTAGAGAGACAAGACTGAACTGAACAGCAGTAACAAAATCACACATATGAAGTTTGAAGATAAAGAACTGCCAAAATGAAAAATATACATAGCCTACAGATACAAGAAAGAAGGAAAGCATTCTCACCAAGTCAGAACAAAAGAAATATGTTTTTGCCAATAATATGATCTTATGGTTTGTGATACTCCAAACTGTTTTAAATATCATTATTTACTCCCGGGTCCTGGGAAGACCAGCTAGCCCTGTTGCACTGCTGAGGAGCTCTTCCCAGAGAGGTGAGTGGGTGCTCACCTGAACAGCCTGCCTGTCCGGGAAGAGAGCACAGACCCTCCCCCCTCAGCTTCTGCGGCAGGGTCTTCGGTGTTCCAAGGGACCCCTCCCTCCCCACACTGCTGTGGGCACTTTTTCTCCTGGGTCCTGGGAAGACCAGCTATCATTGTTGCACTGCTGAGGAGCTCTTCCCAGAGACTGCTGAGGACCTCTATCCAGAGAGTGCTGAGAAGTCCTACCCAGAGAGTGGTGAGGAGTTCTATCCAGAAAGTGCTGAGGAGTTTCATCCAGAGTGGAGGAGATGGGCAGGCGCCAATGCAAGAATTCCTCCAACAACCTGAAAGGCAACATGACATCTCCAGAATCCAGGGAGCTCGAAACTAGAAGAATTGAACACCCTACTCCAGAAGAAATAGAAGAAATCGACTCTAAGTGGATCTTTATGAAAATAATAGAGGAACTTAAACAGGAGGTGAAAATCTGCCATAAAGAAATGGAAGATAAGTATAACAAAAAGATCGAGGAAATGAATAAAGAAATGGAAGAGAAATATACCAAAAAGTTTGAAGAAATGAGTAAATCCGTAGATGAAATTCTGAGAAACCAAGAAAAAACAATCAAACAGGTAATAGAAACAGTTCAAGATTTGAAAACTGAATTGGAGTCAGTGAAGAAATCACAAACTGAGGGCCGGCTGGCTATGGAAAATCTAGGTAAATGAACAGAGAGTTCAGAAACTAGCATAACCAATAGAATACAAGAGATAGAAGAAAGAATCTCAGACTCTGAGGACACCATAGAGAAATTAAACACTCTGACCAAAGAAAACAGCAAATCCAACAAATTCTCATCACAAAACATTCAGGAATTGTGGGACACAATAAAAAAAAACGAATCTAAGAATAATAGGAGTAGAAGAAGGAGAAGAATTGCATTTCAAAGGTCCAGAAAATATACTCAACAAAATTATAGAAGAAAACTTTCCCATCCTAAAGAAGGATATTCCTATGAAGGTTTAAGAAGCATACAGAACACCGAATAGACTGGATCAAAAAAAAAAAAAAACATCTCCTCGTCATATAATAATCAAAACACAAAGCATTCTGACTAAAGAAAGGATATTAGAGCTGCAAAGGAAAAAGGTCAAGTAATTTATAAAGGTAAACCTATCAGACTTACACCAGACTTCTCTATGGAAACCATGAAAACCAGAAGGTCCTGGATAGAGGTACTGCAAAAACTAAGAGACCATGGATGCAAGCCCAGACTACTTTACCCAGACAAGCTATTGTTCACTATCAATGGAGAAAACAAAATATTCCAGGATAAAAACAAATTTAAACAATACGTAGCTACTAATCCAGCCTTACAGAGAATATTAGAAGGAAAATCACAACCCAAGGAATCCAACATTCCCAACACTGCCTACATTAACTCAGACAACTAGAGACCCTTCACAAGCACAACTCAAAGAAGGAAAACACATACACTCTACTACCCAAAAAAATGACCGGAGTCATCGATCACTGGTCATTAATATCATTTAATATCAATGGACTCAACTCACCTATAAAGAGGCACAGACTTAGAGACTGGATATGAAAACAGGATCCAACATTCTGTTGTTTACAAGAAACACACCTCAACCACAAAGACAGATACCTACTCAGAGTAAAGGGTTGGGAAAAGGTTTTCCAAGCAAATGGACCTAAGAAACAAGTGGGTGTGGCCATTCTAATATCTAACAAAATCGACTTCAAACTAAAATCAATCAGAAGAGATGGAGATGGACATTTCATACTCATAACAGGAACAATTCATCAGGAAGAAGTCTCAATCTTGAATATCTATGCCCCTAATATAAAGGCACCCACATATGTAAAAGAAACTCTTCTAGAACTCAAGGCAGTCATCAAACCACACACACTAATAGTAGGAGACTTCAACACTCCTCTCTCACCAATGGACAGGTCAATCAGACAGAAACCTAACAGAGAAATAAGAGATTTATTGGAGGTACTGAATCAAATGGACTTAACAGACATCTATAGAACACTCCACCCAAATAGGAAAAAATATACCTTCTTCTCTGCAGCTCATGGAACCTTCTCGAAAATTGACCACATACTCGGTAACAAAGCAAACTTCCACAGATACAAAAAAATATTAGTAACCACCTGTGTCTTATCAGATCACCATGGATTAAAATTAGAATTCAACAACAATGCTACCCCCAGGAAGCCAACAAACTCATGGAAGTTGAACAGTCAACTACTAAATCACCCCTGGGTCAAGGAAGAAATAAAGAAAGAAATTAAAGTCTTCCTTGAATTTAATGAAAATAAAGACACAACGTATTCAAACCTATGGGACACTATGAAAGCAGTGCTAAGAGGAAAGTTCATAGCACTAAGTGCCCACTTAAAGTAAACGGAGAAAGCACACATTGGAGACTTAACAACACACTTGAAAGCTCTAGAAAAAAAGAAGCTGATTTACCCAGGAGGAGTAGAAGACTGGAAATAATCAAATTGAGGGCTGAAATCAACAAAATAGAAACACAGAAAACAATCCAAAGAATCAATGAAGCAAAAAGCTGGTTTTTGGAGAAAATCAACAAGATTGACAAACCCCTATCCAAACTAATCAAACGGCAGAGAGAGAACTTGCAAATTAATAGGATCAGAAATGAAAAGGGGGACATAACCACAGACACAGAGGAAATTCAGAGAATCATTAGATCTTACTAAGAAAGTTTATATGCCACAAAGTTGGAAAATGTAAAAGAAATGGACATTTTTTTAGATAAGTACCATATACCAAAGTTGAACCAAGACCAGGTGAACAATCTAAATAGACCTGTTAGTCATGAAGAATTAGAAGCTGTTATCAAAAATCTCCCTACCAAAAAAAGCCCAGGACCAGATGGTTTCAATGCAGAATTTTACCA